GGAATTAAGTGATGTTCAATTCTCATGCGTGGAATTGATTCATTACTAGCTCTCAGCTATAATGGAAAAAATTTAATAAATTGAAAATAAAAACAAATCTAATTCAAGTGTGTTTCAAGTTTTACCCTAAGGGTGCGTTTGGTTCACGGAATGAAAGATTACCAGTGGAAATAAAAGATTACCAATGAATATGATTATTGAGAATGTTGTATTTTGTGTTTGGTTGGTTTAGCAGAAATGTAAGATTACCGTGTTTGGTTAAAGGAATAAAAGATTATTGGAATGTATATTTGACAAAATTGTTCTTATTATATATTTGTTTTTTAACAAGGGTGAAAATATTTATATATTTTCTTTAAAAAATTTAAATTCATAATATATATATATATATATATATGTATATATTTTTACAAAATTGAAAATATAAAAAGGTTTAATGAAAGAGTAAAATTTTATTTTAACCCCTGAACTTCATATAAATTTTTAATTATAGATTTTTTTTGTAAATCTAAAATAGTTTAAGGATAAATTTGTAATTTAACCTTCGTTGAAATTTTTATTATTCAATGACAGAATAAGGATATTTTTGAAAGAAATTTTTTTAAGGAAATTTTAGTCCAAAACGTCGATAATCCAACAATACCTAAGAAAAGGGAGGTAATGACATTCTCGGTAATATACCCTAAAAAATCCACTATTGGTAATGTAAGATTACCAGGAATGAAATTCCCGACCAACCAAACGGAGGAATGTGAATTCCATTCCCATGAGAATCTCACATTCCTCCCAACCAAACACACCCTAAGAGTGCGTTTGGTTCACGGAATGTAAGATTACCAGTGGGAATAAAAGATTACCAGGGAATAAGATTACTGAGAATATTGTATTTTGTGTTTGGTTGATTTAGTAGGAATGTAAGATTACCGTGTTTGGTTCAAGAAATAAAAGATTATTGGAATGTATATTTGAGCAAATTGTCCTTATTATATATTTGTATAATATTACAAATTATAAAATAAATTAATATTTATATAATTTTTTTACAAAATTAAAAATATAAAAAAGGTTTAATGAAAGGGTAAAAAAAAATTTTAACCCCTGAACTTCATATAAAATTTTAATTATAGACTTTTTTTTGTAAATCTAAAATAATTTAAGGATAAATTTGTAATTTAACCTTCATAGAATTTTTATTATTCAATGACAGAATAAGGATATTTTTGAAAAAAAATAAAAATTTAAGGGCATTTTAGTCCAAAACACCGGTAATGTCACAATACCTAAGGGAAGGGAGGTAATGACATTCCTGGTAATATACCCCAAAAAATCTACTATTAGTAATAAAACATTACTGGGAATGAGATTCCCGGCCAACCAAACATGGGAATGTGGGATTCCCATCCCATGAGAATCCCACAATCCTTGAACCAAACACCCCCTAAGAGGTATTTATAGCTTATAAACCCCTAAAGATAACATGGAAATTAAAAATGAAAAACCTAAATCTTAAAAGATAAATCTCAACTGTTTTTAAATTTAAATTCATAAAGATTTCGTCCATTTTCTTCCAGATAATGCTAACTAGACTGCTTCTAGAAATTGTTGTTGCTGACTGGATCTTTTGGAAGTTGCCATGTCAGATCGCATCGTGCCCATGCCTCCGGCCATGACCAGAAAATAATAGGGCAAGAACATAAAAAACAGAATATTCGAATATGATAAAAAATAGATGATGAATAACCTTTTGAAATCTCTGTTATTGCTTGAATAGTATTGCAATTTTTTTGGAGGATTTTTAGAATCATTTTACAGTTTTTTTGCATGGGTTAAATACTCATTTACAACTAAAAAAATCATTGCTATTTTTTGTTTCTACAGAGGCGTGTAACTTGTGGTGGTCGGCATGCTAGGTGCTTAGCTGTGATTTGGGGGAGAAAATGGTGGTTCCTGGTTGGGGCAGAGGAATGATGGAATCTGGTTGGGGGTAAAAAAAGGTGAATGTTGACTGGGGTGAAAATGGTGCACTTCGATTGGGGGTTTGGGGGGCTAATTAGACACGGGTCGGGTCTAATTTGGACTTGGTTTTGGTCTGGTTTGAGGGTCAGGTTTAGGGTAGTTGGGCTTCGGGTTTAAAATGTAAAAGGGATTTTTTATTTGGGTTTGGGATGGTTAAAAATGTTTCTCTCGTCATTAAATATTGGTAAAATAAATAATTAATTATACTTGATTGATATATGCTTTTAATTTGTTTTATTTTTTCATGTGTTTTTCAATGGTTTTTCAAGTTAATAACACTCGAATCAATATTGAGAATAATAATATCTTTTCATTTCGGTTGGAGTAATAAATGACTGCTTTGAGACATGAGATGTCATTTATTCTCGATTGGAAATAATTCGATATTACCGTTTTCTCTCGAATCAATATTAATTTTTAAGACGAATTAGTTATATCTCTTCATTTCAATTGGAACAATAAATTATTGCTTTAAGGTATGAGAGATCATTTCTTCTCGATTGGAAATCATTAGATATTATCGTTTCCACTCAAATCGATATTGAATTTTAAGACAAAATAGTAATATCTCTTCATTTCGATTAGAGTAATAAATGACTGTTTTAAGGCATGAAAGGTCATTTATTCTCGATTAGATAATTAGATATTATCGTTTTCTCTCTTAAAATTATTTTGGGTGTTGTTATTTTGAATTAATAATTATCTTTAGAATGAAATTTTAATATTTCTTTATTTCTATTTGAGTAAAAATCGATTGCTTTAAAGTATAAGAGATTGATTCTTCTCGATATGAAATAATTAAATATTATCATGTTTCGTCAAAAAATTCAAAGAATAATTTGTAGGGGATCTTAAATTAAATTAGACTTGAACTCATAAATTTCATTTCAAAGACAACTAATTAATCGACTAGGTACCGATTTAAGGCGATGTGAGGTGTTAATCCTTCCCCACACGTAACCAACTCTCGAACTCAAATTTTAGTAACACAAACCGTGAATTTATTGTTTTAATTAAAATGAATGTTTTTTTAAATGACAAATACTTTTTTTGTGTCCAATCAGACCCTAATCAAATATTGATGGTGACTCGTCGAACCACGTTTTATCGTTAACCGTCATCAAAATTATTTCGAAACGAGATCCATCTTCCCTTTTCGGAAAACCGTTTCGACACATCAGTTTTGTGGCTTGGATTTATTTTCAATGATACAGTGATTGAGATTACTTTGACACTTACCGTGAGCTACATTGTTTACTTCACTTTATGTTTATTTTCTAATATTTTTCATACAAAAGATGAATCTTTCTTATACATATTAATCGAAACGTTGTCAAATGTAATACAATATGGCATATGGTAGTAATTTATTAACTCGGTCGAGCTTTGTTGGTAAGAACTTACGCATTTTATGTTACAGGGTTAAGAAGGTATTGAAGTTTCTGGTGTTTTGGCAGTGATGACTTTAGGAGTGTAAGTAGAACAGCTCTACATGATTCCTTATCTAATTCCTACAAAACAAATCTGTTGAGGTTATGATCCATGGGCAGGTTTTATGCAGCTGTTGCAAAGACAGCCTTTAAGGGTGACAGTCAGCAGCTGTTCCTTTAAGGGTGACATCTTGATTAACTTTTTTAATTCAATGAAATATGATATTTTGAGTGATAAAAATATCTGACAGATATTTATTTTTTTCTCTTGCTTTTGCAGTGGGGTTGTTATAGCTGAAGGCATTCTTGGCAATGATAAGATTTTTCATAACAATGGTTCTGCTTACATTTTATGAAAAAGGATTAGTATTACTCTTTTCATACACTTGCAATATGTTTTCTATATTTTAAAAAGTTTGCCAGTTAACCGTCCTCCAGTTATTTTCTCTACTTCATCATATTTGAACTATTGGAGTAAAGAAAGTTTTATATTACTTGTATGCTCTTCATCATCTTCTATTTAAAATATTGTCCATTCTTTTCATCTTTCTTATATTTTTACTGAAATAAACTGGGTTCCATAGATCTCTTTGTTACTCTTTATGTCTACCCAATTAAATGACTTCTGTGGTCGAGGAAACATCATGAATCTGTTTCTTTTTTCTTCTTCAGAACATTCATGGGGCTATTTGATTCTTCTGTACATCTTTGTCCAAGCATCACGTTGCATTGTTGTTGGAGCATTATATCCATTTTTAACGTATTTTGGATATGGTTTGGATTTAAAGGAAGCTGCCATCCTAATATGTCCAGGGCTCCGAGGGGCTGTTGCATTATCACTTTCTCTATCTGTTAAGGTATGTTTGCATGTATTAGCTCCTTACATGTTTACATATAGATTATAAATGCTTAGAATTGTTATAAATGCAGCATTATCTGCATGCATTGCTATGACTGCTATATCATATTAAGGTATTTTTTATGTGTTAATACTGATCTATATTTGTTTTGGTTGAATGCTTGATTGTGTTTAGCGTTCCAGTGACGGCTCGCCGAATATCAGTTCTGAAACAGGAAGCCTGGTGAGTTTTCGCGATATGCTTCCTGATCGTATTATAATGCTTCGTCAGTATATACCTAGAAATGACACTGATATTATTAATTTACTGCAGTTTGTTTTCTTCACCGATGGAATTGTATTCTTGACACTTATTGTGAATGGATCAACTACACAGTTCATTTTACATTTTCTGGATATGGATAAACTGTCACCACCCAAGGTAAGTTGCTCAATTACTTCCCTGAAAGGGATCCAACCTGAATATTTACTAAGCTTGAGCATTTATATACTATATTATCCTTAATTTATTAGCTGCATTACCTATTTTAAGGTTTAGTTATTATTTTTCTCTCTTTTGAGTATGTTCCATAAGGACATTATTTCCATGTGTTCTGTCTTCTCCATCACTTTGGTTGTAAGATCCCATTTTCTGTTTTGCATTTATATTTACTTCTACAGAAGCGTATACTGGACTACACAAAGCATGAAATGTTGGACAAAGCATTCGAGGATTTTGAAGACCTAGGAGATGATGAGGAACTTGGAACTGCTGATTGGCCTACAGTAAAGAGATACATCACAAGCTTAAATGATTTGGAGGGGGACCGTGTGTGTAAACACTAATTTTTCATTTTACTTAATTTATTATTATTAAAATTATTATTATTATTAATATTATATATTATATATATTATTATTATTTAATAAATATTACAAACCATTTTACAAATCTGGAAGCCCAATCAGATTTGGCCTATACTTAGATGGCCCAAGACTAACCCTAAATGAAGCTAGGGTTTTCATCCTCAACACCCAGCCGTCATTGCTCACAGCCGTTGGATCATGCTAAGATCCAACGGTCCACAAGAGGTCCAGCATGATGCAGCTAGGGTTTCTAAACCCTAGCTTCTATGTTACCGCCGTTGAGAAAGATGAACAGCCGTCGCCTCTGCTGTCATCGTTCCACACTGCCAGATAGTCCAACACCCCGCTGCCGACTCCACTGCTTCAACCAACTGCTGCCAGATGCCTCAGCCATCTTCCACGACACCCACACAAGTCTCCAGAAGGCTAGCTGCCCCTCCACGCGTCGATGTTCAAGGGTGACTCACCGAAGACCGCCTTATTATACGGTCTGACGAGAGCCTCTTCGAGTCCTATAAAACCGAACCTGCAAAAAAAAAAGAAACATCAAAAAAGAGAATAGAGAAGCAACGAGAACACAGCAACCAACAGCAAACATCAATAATCGAAAATAAAAACAGAGAAAAAAAAGAACTTACCCCCAAGATACCAAACGTCACCGGAAACTTTTGTAAATCGAGGTAAACCTTCGGCTTTTGTTTAGATCTACATCTATTGAAAGAGTTTTAGGAGAAAAAGAAACTAGATTTGGGTTTAGGGGAAACAAAGGATCGATTTAGGCTATTTTTCCAAACTCCGGCCACCGTGAACGGTGGCCGGTGGCGGGGATCGGAGCCGGAGCATGGTGGCCGTTCGGTGACCTTATCCCTCTGGTGAGGGAATTTGTAGAGAGAAGCCAGAGAGAACTCTGGCTCTCTCATTATTGAGAGAGAATAAGAAGAGAAGAAATTAGGATGCTGGCCCTTCGGGCCAGCCGTTTAGGGTATTTAAATACCCTCTCCCAAATGACGCCGTTTTGGGGTAGGGTGTTTCTGTAATTTCATAAAGGGTAAACCCCGTCCGCAGTGCTCCAATTTTGTATACCTTGCAATTTAGTCACTGAAAGCAAATTTTGCCTATTATAATTTAGTCTTCGAAGTTTATTTTATTTTAGTCATGTCCAGTATAATTATATATTTAGGGTGAATACTGAATTTAGTCCCTTATAGTTTAGTAATTAATATTTTAATCTGAATAGCATGTTTTAATTTATTCTAATTTGACATTCGAATTTAATATAGTTTTATTTTAGTCCATAAATTAATAAATGAGTAAAATAACATGTTTAATCCCTGTAATTTTAAATAATTAATTATGAATTAGGTATTTAATTCTATTAGGTTATAATTTAGTCACTAATTTCAATTTTTATTTATTTTTTACAAGTTTTATTTATTTTAAATATATAGTTTTAATTTTATTCATTGTTTAGTTATATGTTAATTTTATATGTTTACTTTTAATTATTATTACTATTATTATTATTATTTAGCCATAAATATATATATTTATATCATACATAATATTTATTTTATTTATTAAAATCTTATTTAATTACTTTTAACTTATTTTAATCCTATTTTAATATTTATTTTTCAATATTAAGAAATGGCAGTCTTAAAACAACTGGATGTCCATTTTCTGATATTTTTAAATAAATAAATATCCTATTTTATAAATTATATTCATTGTTTTAATTATTTATTTATTTTTTAATATCGAAGAAAAGAACTGTTTTAAGGCACCTAGAAGTCCTTTTCTGATATTTCTAAATAAATAAATATTTTATTTATAAATATATATAAATTAATATTTTTTCATAATTATAATATTGAAATAATAGGATTATAAATTAAATATATTTTGAATTTTTAAATTTCTAATAATAGAGACAATTTATAATTAAAAAGTACCAATTTTGGGCGTTGTAAGGGTGCTAATCATTCCCTAAACGTAACCGACCACGAATATCTTTTTATTATTAAAAAGAACGAATTTTTGGTTAAATCGCAGATCAGTTTATCTTTTAACTGATGTTTTCTTAAAAACTTTTTTAAAAGATAATTTTTAGGTATTCGACCTACCTGACCCAAAAGGCCGATGGCGACTCCCAAATTATTTTAAACCATTTATTCACATTATTTTCCCGCTGAGTAAAAAATTCGTGCTCGGGCAAAAACCAGTTACGACAGCTTGGCGACTCCGCTGGGGATTGTCAAACTTTAAAATTAATTATAAATTGTCTCTATTAATTAGAAATTAAAAATTCATTTATTTAATTTTTAATTATTTTCTTTCAAATTTTTATGATTTTCATAATATTTATTATATTTATTATTTTTACTTTATTTTCATATATTAAATTTTTCATTTAATTATTTGTCAAAGGTTTGAATATTTCTCCTCACACACAACACTTGCATTGCATAACATAAGCTTTCTAATCAAGCTTGTCCCTTTTAAGTGGGAGTGAAAGCGACGTCTTCGTGAGAATTTATTCTCCGTGTCAGACCTAGCAAGTAACTTTCGGGGTTCATATGCTCTATGTCTTCGTGAGAATTTATTCTCCGTGACAGGCATAGAGAAATGTGTCCCCTCGAATTGAACTCGATCCGCTTAAGTCTGTAATGGACTAGGATTGAGGGTTTGACAGCCCAAGGGGGCATCAACAAGGACAATTCGAGTACCTTTACTCCTAGAACTGAAACTCTGCATATAATAAACCCTAGAAATTCACCAGATCTAAGACAGTACTGAACCTCTGTTCATAGGTGTACACAAAGGAGAAATAAGCTCTAGTTTTTAATTTATTTAATTTATTATTTTTCTCTCTGAATAAATGTTTGCGAACTAGTAATCATGTTGTTAGGTTAATTTTTCCAAACAAAGCATGGAACTAGAAAGCATGAGGTTATGATATATTATATACCATAATAGGTAGAATATTTTCTTTTCATTAATTGGTACTTACCAATTTATTTATTTCCTTTCTTATTTTTTTCATACATTTTGTTTTGCTCTAACTTGTTTATATTGATTTCTTTTGTTTGCATTGCATGATCATAGCATAACCAAAAGGTGTTGACTTAAAAGACTGTTTATCAAATTGGAAAGAAATCATAAATGGACAAAAAGTTTTATGATCGAACAAAATATGATGCAGCCAAGGAATCGCATCCCGAGGGAACTCCGAGGATAGAAGAAAGCTATGCACCTAAAGATCATGTGTCCATTAAAGAGCAAGAGGAGATACGAGAAATAAGAGAGCAGATGTCCAAGATGATGGATAAAATATCTGTTTTGGCCAAAGGAGAAGAGATTCCTGCACAGAAAGAAAGAAAGCTTAATGAAGATAATCCTGCAATTTCAGATATGCAAGGGACTTCTGATCCTAATCAATTGGAGAAGTTACAGACAATCATCATTCGTATTCACAAGTCATCTGGAGATACCAAGGAAATGGTGACAACTGTAAAAGCTCCCAGAGATGAGAAGAAATCATATAATCTAAAATCAACGAAGTTTAGTCTGCTCCCGACGTCTAAAACTCAGGCTCAATCCAAGACAAAAGGCGGTTCTCATGTTGATGCTATACCTATATCATATAAAGAGTTGTATGAAAAGTTACTTGAAGCACAAGAAGTAGCTCCATATTACAAAAAACCATTCCAACCTCCGTATCCAAATTGGTATGACATCAACGTTCATTGTGAATATCATGCCGGAGCTCAAGGACATACCATCGAGAATTGTCTTCCTTCAAATGTCGAGTCCAAAGTATTTTGGATTATGGAACCTTACAATATATGATAAATGATCAACCTAGTTTGGTAATTGAAGATCCTGCCAGATCAACACCAAATGTATTCAAAGGTAATAGCATCAGTAGGGACGTCCAGAAGGAAGAAGATTTGCTGAGGTTCGAAGCTCAAATATGTCATTTGAATAATCAAAACGATAAATTGAGCACTGAAATGTAAAGCATACAAGAAGATTTCCAGAAGGTCAGTCAAGCCTTTCAAAATACTGGTATAGGGAACACCCCAGAAGAGTGGATAACAGGGGTCACCAAATTGAAGAAGAACTGTAACATACATGAAGGACGAGTCAAAAAGTTTTATCATAATTCACGAGTTGTAGAAGAAAGATGCAATACGTCTGTTAGTGAATTGAAAAGATGTCAAGTCAAAAATCAAATGTTGAATAGTGCTATGACCAACATGGAAGTTTCATATCAGATTCATCAGTATGAGATTGATATTGAATTAAAAGCCACTATCGACAAGAACAAGACATTGAAGAAATGTTTAGATGATTATGGAGATCTTGTACGAGAACTCTGTAACCATAAAGATTCCATTAAAAGGGAAAATGAGCAACATTGCCTACAACTCCGGGAATTGACACAGAAGATGAAGGAAAAAGACACTGTCATGAAGAAAGCTGTTGTTCAAGCAAACAATGTGGCTCATAAGCTGGTGGACATAGCTGCCTTCGCAAGAGAATTAAAGCAGATTGAGAACTCCACACCTGAGCATGAGTGGAAGTTAGTTTGGCTTTTAAGGGAAATAGAGAAGTTAGGAGTGAAAGCTATCCCCTATATGTAAAAGTTTTGTTTGATGTACCAAAGCTTTTGTGTTCAATGAAATCTGTTCTAAGATGATCACTCTTGAGTAACACCTTTTCATACATTTGCATTTTGCATTTTGCATCTTTGCATTTTTCATTTTGTATTTATACTTTTATGTTTACATCTTTGAAATGCACATTTTGCGTGTTTATTTTGGCATTTATTCATTTTCGCATTTACATTACATTTTTTTATTTAAATATTGTTATATAATTTAATTATAAAAACATGTATATAATTCATGAAAGGTTCTGTAACAGTAAAAACTAAGACCATTCATATTACTTTACCAT